CCCCCCCCCCCCTCGCGTGCATTGCACGGACGTATTCCCCCTCCTTCTTCGGATGCTTCCTCTGCTTCTTCACACAACTTCATCGTCGCCTAAAATCTCTCCCCCTCTGTCTCCTCCACTTTTTTCTTTTATTTGTTATTTTAAATAATTTATTTCAATTACTTTCATTTAATTTTTATTTAAATGGTAATTTTATTAAAATTACGTAAATTAAATTGAATTTGTCTATATTTATATATTATTTCCATATTACTATTTAGCAGTTATTTTATCGTTTAGTAATTCAATGGGCTGGATTACAGGTTCCAAATACCTTCGTTTTGAAAAAATGGTACCCTGTCCTAAATTAACAGGTCCTTTCTCAAGCAATTGGCCAAACAAATGTGACCCATGACCTGTAATTTTAATTCGGGTCGATTCTATTGACTTTATATGGCTAATAAATGTGGGGTTAAAGAGGTAGTGACCAAAGAAAATTTTATTTGGTTGTTTTACAGTCCCATAATGAGTATTATTCAACAACCACGGGCCACACCATTATGTCGAACACGAAATTTTGAAAGATATTATTTGTCCTTCATTTGATGTCTTCAGCATTCTTCTAGGTTACTAATGTATTCCTTACAAATTCAATGTGTTTGAGCGAGATAAATTGCTGACGTCGAGGACATGTCATATTGGTCAAAACTTGCATATAAAATGTTCCATGTATGCAACATGTTACCTTCTTTGTAGAAGATCCTATTAATGAAAAGAAGCTTAGGTAGGGAGACAACATGCAGCGTGTCACGATCATGCTTCTCCAAGACATATTGTTCATGGTTGCATGCTCGTTCCAAAACTCCTTTTACATGTTTTCATCGTAGATAGGCCTTTACTATTGCACCTTGGGTAAATACGAGGGTGTGTATGACCCTTCACTAAAACCATGTCTACACCCACGTCACTGAGTTATATGTTATTTAAGCCCGTGATATTTCTTAATGAGCCTGTGTATTTCCTCGCGCATATTTTCTAAACATTTTCTCGCAACGTGACTGGAGGCCCAAACATACACCAACGTTGTCCGTGACGTTCGTATTTCTCACAGCTGACTTGTTTACTTGGTTAGAATAAGTGTTATATAATCGCTATCCGCTATTGCAAGAGTGCGATTGTGACATAGTGCACTCTAGCAAATTAAATTCTTTGACTAAGGCCTAGAAGCACTCTGGCTACGAAAATTTAGGTTCTAAAGCCAGCTATACTAATAACCCGGGGCTGACCCTTGAGCAAAGTTGGATATGCAAGGGGTCAATAGGAGATAGACGGGCATGGTTGAAGAGAGAAGAAAACAGGAAAGATGATAAAACTAACAAGGTTTCAAGGAATTCCTTTCGTGTTTCTCGAAAGTTTTCATGCAGCCAATAACAAAATAGTGTGGAAGTTATCTATTTATAATCATCAAATAAATTAAAGTATATGGAAGGAGTAATAAATGAAAAAGAGCACTAAATAAAAAGATACTTATAGTAATAAGACAAATATCTTGCTTATAATAAAATATCAAATATAATATATATGGTAAACTATAATTTAGTACTAAATATTCTTAACAGCCCCGCAAGCTGAGCGTCGGATTTGAACGAACGTGAAGCTTGGATCTGAAAAATTCAAATAAAGATCGAGAAATACTTTTCGTGAAGATGTCAACAACCTGGTTCGAAGGAGACGTAGAGAAACACTTTCTTGGCCATCGAAAACTGTAGAGGGATTGTCTCTCAGCGGCGATTCTGCCTTGACTTCGGCGAGAATATGTCTAACCCATGAAAAAGGATCGTCGCTCAGCAACGATGTTGCCTTGGCTCTGGTGAGAATATGCCTAACCCAAGAAGTAGAAGGGAAAAACCTAGAGCAAGGGACAAAGACAATGTTGAAGCCGGAATAGTCGCCATAGTGGGCGAAGGAGCCAATTTTGTCAAGAAGGGCGGCGACGACTTGGTTGGTGAAGAGGCCAGTGCGGTGCCCAGATTCCAAAGATAAATCTCTACCGAAGGTCGATAGGTTTCTCGAGATCCTACATATTTTCGATAGGAACACTCATGAGGATCCTGAGGTTAGGGTTTCTATGAAGGATGAAGGACCGATTGGGAAGAAAATGAGAGAGGTTATGTTGGCTAAGGGAAAACCGATTGTGTTGGAAAATGTGAGGTTGTATGTAAAGAGTATGGCGAAGGGTGATTTGGAGGTCAAAAGGGTGGAGCCGAAGAGTAATCAACCGGTTCCACCTGTGGCAGCCATGACGACCGCTCCTGCGGCGTCAAAGCCGGCAATGGTGGTAGAGAAGAAGATGAGTAAAGAATTCAGAAGCCATTGAAAATAAATAATTGGGGTTGCTAAACCAAAACGGCTCTAATACCATGAGAATATTTGTTAAAACCACAGTGCGGTGTGAAAATTCTTTATTTATAATCAAATAAATTACAAGGATATAGAGAGAGAAATAAATGGAAAGAGCAATAAATGGAAGGAAAGAAACCTATAGTAATATGATATAATGATAAACTATAATTTAGTACTAAATATCCTTAACACAAGATCATGGTGGTAAGTTCTACCTACGACAGCCAACTGATAGCAAGGGCAAATGAAGGGAGGGCGGTAGACAGCTTTCAAGAGTTCCTTTCAAGCGAACTAAATGCATAAATGTTAAAATGTTCAAAGTGGATAAGTGGCTACAAGATTTAAAGCAGAAGAACAAACCAATGATATATATTCCGAAAGAAACAAGATATATCTCATGTACTAAGCTGATTATAAAGTCTGTAACCAGATGTGCGGCAAAAATTAAAAAACTGGATCTATGGCTCTACGGTTGTCACCTGTTGCCAGTCCCCATCGACAGCTTCCTTCCACAAAGTCACGGCGTTGTTCCCATCAGCCACCGCCAAGATGTTTCCAGTCAAAGACCATGAAACCCTCCAGACAGGAGTTTGGAAATTATTCAATACCTTTCCTTCCCATTGATCCCCTTCCCTGGCTACGGTCCATATGATAACCTTTCCATCCTGAGAAGCACTTGCAATGGTAGATTTTGGTAACCCGAGGTTAGGCGCCCATGCAACGTCCCTAACCCAATCAGTGTGCATTTGAAGTGCAGGGAAACAGTCCATCTTCCAAATCCCATTATATGGTTTCCAAACCTTCACAGTATTATCACAACCACCAGAGCAAAGCTTTTGAACAGGATCAACAAAACCAGAACCAACGAGAGCGCCCGGCGCGGATGAAGGGGCCCATGAGACTGATGTAACACCAAGAGGGTGAGCTTGGTCAATCCTTGATGTATCCCAACCACCATCCGGCCTTGCAGTGAATACTGAGATGTTTCCATCAGAGGAACCACATGCCAAACATAGACCCACTTCATGCGGAGCCCAAGCAATCGAGTTAACTGACGATTTATGCTCATAAAAAACATGAGCTTGAGTCCACTCATTCTGATTTCCCTCCTTCCATATAATCACACGCCCATCATAAGAACATGAAGCCAGCAAAGAACCGAATTTCGGGTGTGCCCAAGCAGCCTGCCAAACTGGTCCTTGGTGACCAGTAAGCGTGGCTAGATGCTGAGAAGCCGAATTGCTGACTCCAATTATCTTAATGGTCTGGTCAGATGAAGCTGTTGCAAGGCGCTTGCCATAATAATCCATCGCAACATCATGGATGGTATCCTGGTGACCACTTTCAATCTTCTGAGCAGGCATTTCTCTAATACCGATATGTCTAACTCTTAAGCTAAGCTAGCAACCGGGATCAATTCGAATACCTAACCAACTTCTGACTAGCCCTCGGACCAAATACAATTCTTATTACACTGTCTTCAATCTATCAGATTCCAAAGGGGAAATAAACTGGAAAACAAAAACATAACAGAAATTCGAAACAATATGAGACAACTCCTAATCGACCCTCGAGTAACTAAATTGCGAATGATAATCGAGTCTAACAAAATTGATAGATCTTATTTCTGAGTTTCAGAGTGTCATCATTGGAAACAGATCGATCAAGTCAACCAAATCCTAAGAAATCAACAACACAGTAACAAAAGAAAACCCGGAAAAGAAACAAATCTCAAATCGATAACGAAAAGAGCGGAGATAAATTCATGGATCGTAAGACAAGACCCAAAACCCTAGAACACAAAATTTAAAGCTCCCAAGTGGGCAAAAGAGAAAAAGAGCAAACCTCGTACGCGAAGTCGATGCAGCTTTCAGGGAGAAGGGATCGTACTCTTCGCCTGTGATTAATGGGGGAAAGGGAAAATAAAACACGAAGAAAGGGGACGTGTTTGAGAAGAAGAACAATAATCAAAGCGAAATGAGGACGGGCAGTTATCGTTTGCCCGAAACCCGCCCCGCCAGAAGTCTGTGTAATTGGGCCTTTGGTGGTTTCATTTGGGCCTTTGATGGACGCGATGACTCCCAATGAGCATATTGGGCCTGGGCCCATATTTGAATTTTCTTCCAAATATATATATATTTTAGGGAAATTGTGGACAGATTTTCTGAATAGCCTCTCATTTATGTTCTCGCATCATCTCTCTGAGTCAGCCTTCCCAAAAATATAAACATAATTAATTTCGAAATTTAAAATTAGCTTTAAATATTACTCTTTTATTATTATTATTATTATTATTGGTATCTTTAAGATTTCGTTGTACTGGACAGATTTTTGGCCCATCATCAGCCGTCAGCCAGTCAGTCTCTGCATTTCATATTTTCAAAAAAATTTAATTTGATGAATTTAAATACATGTTTTATTTACATTAAATGTATATAAAATATTTGTATAGTTAATTTTTAAAATTAAGATTGATTATATGATATAAGTTGCAGGATAAAACTGGCATCCTATGTTCTTTTTATATATATAAATAAAAAATAAATTAAAAAAGAAAAAGAGAAAGGCTCCGGTCATGACGGCGTCAACGTTTGGGGGAAAAAAAGGCGTCAACTCCGGCGGTGGAAAATGGCGTCCACTCCACCAGAAACCTCCACTACCAACACCAACATGATTCAAGCCACGTCACCATCCGGCTGAGGAAAGAGGGAAAGAGGGCCCACAAAAACACATTCTTGAAGTCATCCCCCGGGAGAGTGGACCCCAGCAATATCTTGTCAGGCCATGCCTGTCCACTACTACCACACCCTGGCTGGCCCCACTCTCTTTCCCAACTCACGTCTCACGTGCCTTCTACATGCCATTTCCATGGTTTTATCTTGGATTAAATTTTATCAAAATATTATCGAAATTTATGCTTCTTTTCTAAAAACTACTCCTATTTTTTTAATTAAATATTATTTTTTTTTTAACGCTGTGATAACCGTGTTTCAAATGGATTTATTACACGTTGCAACGCCAAGAGATTCAAAATTGCCAAAGAAGATTAATTAAAAATGTCAAACCTACGCGGGCAAAGCACTTTTTTAGACACTCAAGAACATCAACATTCGTTATAAAGTTCTATTTTTAATTGCATAAAGTTTGTAGGGGTTAAATGATCAATTTGACTTTGTCTTTGAAGATTAAAGAAGATCGAGATTAAATGTCAGCCACAAACGTCTCTTGTGGAGACTATAAATACCCACAATATGTTAGGTAAAAATCCGATTGGGGATGGATGTAATTCATATCTCAAATTGAGACGTTTCTCTCACAAATTTGAGCATCATATTTGTCATTTATAAGTTTGAAGCAATTTTGTGTAGAATTGCATTCGAGCCAATTTAGAACAAAGTTACAAGGTTTTAAATATTGTAAGAGATAATCTAATTCTAGTTTGATTGTTACAAATTTTGTATGAGTGTAATTCAGGGGTTTTTGCTCCAATAAAAGCTTGAATGGATAGAGGACTTATGATTGAGCTTAATTGTCAGAGCCACAAACATCTCCCTTCTTCTTGTTTTATTTCTCATTCTTTCATTTTAATTATATATTAAATTTTAATTCTTAGATGCTATTTTGTTTCGAATAGTAACTAAGAAACCTTATAAATGACATTCAACTTTATCGACTTTTATTTTTTAAATAAATTTCTTTAAAGAAGGATTGGTTTCATAACCATTAATCATTTTTATATTCAATTATAGATTTTAAATATTCATATTAAAAAAAAAACATAAAATTTGGGCGCTAATTTATTTTGTTTGTATTGGAAAAAAACGCGCCAAATTGCAAGTAACAACAATTAAAGGAGAAAAATATGTAACTAAAATAAAAAGTAATGAAAAAAATGAAAAAGAAAGATGGGTTAAAGAAAAAAAAAAAAGACAAAGGATAGAAATGGTATTTTTTCATATCATTATTATTATGTCGCATGTCATATCAAGTCATGTCATGTATGGGGGCTATGTTATGTTGATACGCCATTACCATCTTATATAAATTTAATTCCCATAATACCCCCCAAAATTAAAAATAAAAAAAGTAATTTCATTAAAATTATCCATAAATAAACTCAGTAAATTTTATTTTATACAAAATAATAATAATAATAATAATAATAAATAAATAAATAAAAATTTAAAACCCGAGACGCATGCAAGAAACCTCATCATGGTGTCCTCTGAGCCCTCCCCCCGTTTCGCCTTTTGTATTTTTCAAGCATCCTTCTTAGCGCCTCCCTTTATTTTAATGCCCCTCATTTTCCCACTAATTTACGTTTCTGCCACTCCCACTTTTAGCCTTTTGTTTTCGGCTGCGTTGCTTTTAATATCTGTCACCGCTTTCACATTTGTTCAGTGTGACCAAAAAGCCCTTTTATTCCAATCATTATATCCCATTCTGAAAAATAGACATGGATTTTTAAATAATATCTATAATATACTTGCCAAATTTAAATTTAAAAAATTATTGCCTTCTAAATTCTTTTTGGCTAAGAAAAGGTCAATTTATTAGGCGTTATTTAAAATTTTATCAAATTATTTTTTAAAAAAATATCGAGAAATTAATTGGTGGTAAATTTTAACTTTATTACCAAAGTGCAGGGGTAATATAGACATTTTGAGTGGTAACAGGAATAAGGCAGGAAGAGTTGGTTAGAAACAGCATGATGGGCATTTTTGGTCTTTAGAGAATCGAATTTTTTATATTTAAAAAAAAAAAAAAAAAAAAAAACATGCGCCATTTTCGCACTGCACAGTGGAGGGAAAAACTCAACTCGTTCCGAGCAGAGCCGAAAGTGACGAACCAATGGAAGCTTAGAGGTGAAAATTATTCACATTTCACAGTATCCCTCCAAAAACGTACTCTCTCTCTCTCTCTCTCTCTCTCTCTCTCTCCCCTGGTTTCCATTGCTGTTCTTTCATTGAACCGTATGGTGTAGAATCAGGTTCCATTGAGACCTCAGATTGGTTCCTGTAGCTAGCCTTTCACTTTTTTTTTTCTGTCCCTTTTTCATGTTCTATGGCGTTCGTAGTATTGAGCTCTGTTTGTTGGTTCTGAATCCCCACAAGATGTTTTGGAGATTGGGTGTTGTTCTCGTCGACCAGCACCATGAGGATCGGCGATACGGCGATTTCCGAGGCTTGAGTGGGAGATCGTTTTGAGTATTGGATTGATAATCTTGGGGTTTGAAGCTTCTGAGAGTGTTTGGTGGATTTTTCAGCGACAAGGATGCTGAATCTTTGGTGGGTATTGAAGAACTAGCTAATGGAATTTATGGGTTTGAATTTGTTTCTTTTTTCGTGTTTATTAGGGTTTTTATTTTGTGGTTTCTATGTCCTGGAAGTTCAGATCGTTGTTGATTTTCTGAAGCTCAAGCTTGGTTTGAAGCTCTGATCTCGAAAGATTAGCTTATCCTTGTGTTTAGCGCTTGTCTCACTTTCCCTCAACAAGGACAAGTGCGTAACGGTTCCGGATATTGCTATCGTTTATCGTTTTATCTTTAACGCTGTTGCTAGTGGAATAGCCATTACTATTATACTTGAATTTTGTAGGAGGGGTTGTAGATTGATAAGCTGCGAGTGTTTGTTTCTTTTTTTGGGGTGTGTAAGGATTGCTCAAAGTTTTGCCCAATTTAGCAAAGAGGGTTGTGCTACTTCATCGGCTCCGTGAGAATTCTGAGGTAGAAATTTAATAATGGCTATGTCCTGCAAGGATGGTAACAAACATGGTATCGACAACGGCAAATACGTTCGGTACACACCGGAGCAGGTTGAAGCCCTTGAGCGGCTCTATCATGAATGTCCAAAACCCAGTTCCATTCGTCGTCAGCAGCTTATCAGAGAGTGCCCCATTCTTTCTAATATCGAGCCTAAGCAAATCAAAGTCTGGTTTCAAAATAGAAGGTACTCTTTGCTTAATTCATCCGTTTGTACTTACAATAATGACCCACTTGATTATGGCAGAAGTAGATTTTGAAAAAGATGTGAACCCTTTAGTTAGAGTTTTAATTGCCTTAAATTGTTTCTTCAGATGTCGTGAAAAACAGAGGAAAGAATCGTCTCGGCTTCAAGCTGTGAATAGGAAGCTTACGGCCATGAATAAGCTTCTAATGGAGGAGAATGATAGGCTGCAGAAGCAGGTTTCACAGCTGGTGTATGAGAATGGCTATTTCCGCCAGCATACTCAGAGTGTGAGTTTTGCAGTGAGCTATTATAATATTACCTTTTCTCAATTTCTGATTCATGGGGTTTCCTTGAAATTGATGATTTTTAAAAAACGAAATGCCTTTTTCGATGTTAAATTAATGGAAAAAGGGGGAAACAAACGATTCTTGTCGAGTAGAATTGATTTGTGATGGAATTTTTGCAGACGACGCTTGGAGCTAAAGACACAAATTGTGAACCGGTGGTAACTAGCGGTCAACACAATTTGACATCTCAGCATCCTCCTCCAAGGGATGCTAGCCCTGCAGGGTTAGTGGGCATTTTGGTTGTTGGGTCCTTTTCTAATATCGTAATCTGTGACCACATTGCTGTCCGCGTTTGCAGATGGATTAATTTATTTTTCATATCTTTTCAGACTTTTGTCCATTGCAGAAGAGACTTTAACAGAGTTTCTTTCAAAGGCCACTGGAACTGCCGTGGAGTGGGTCCAAATGCCTGGAATGAAGGTGTCGCTTTGCCCTTCTTTTCATTAAATGTTAAATTGTTCTACTCTGACAATTGATTTCGTTATGCTGAATCTATGGTCAGTAAATAGTTTAAATTTACTGTGAATTCATTCAGTTTTCTCCAATATCATATTCCCAAATGTCAGTCCCTTTTATAATTACTTTTGTTTTCTTTTGTTTGTTTTTATTATTGTTATTATTATTTTCTTCAATTTTCGTTTTTCTTTTACTTATTTGAGGTATATGTCACGGTT